GACAGTCTTTTTAACAAATGGTGCTGGAAAAACTGGATGTCCATCTGCAAAAAACAAGAAACAGGATCCATACTTCACACCATATACAAAAACTAATTCAAAATGGATCAAAGGCTTAAATATAAAGCCAAAAACTATAAAGTTCATAGAAGAAAAAATAAGATCAACCCTAGAGGCCCTAATAGACGGCATTAACAGGATACAAATCATAACCAACAACACATAAACTCCAGAAGATAAGCTAGATAACTGGGATCTTCTAAAAATTAAACACTTATTCTCATCAAAAGACTTCACCAAACGAGTAAAAAGAGAACCTACAGACTGGGAAAAAATTTTTGGCCATTGCAAATCAGACAAAGCTCTAATCTCTAAAATCTACAAGGAAATCCAACACCTCTACAGCAAAAAGACATATAATCCAATTAAAACATGGGCAAAGAAAATGAACAGACACTTCACCAAAGAAGACATTCAAGCTGCAAATCAAAACCACAATGAGATATCATTTCACCCTGGCATTACTGGTATGAATCAGAAAAACTGGAAATAATAAATGTTGGAGAGGCTGTGGGGAGATCGGAACTCTTAAGCACTGCTGGTGGGAATGAACATGATACAACCATTTTGGAAAACGATATGGCGTTTCCTTAGAAAACTAGAAATAGAAATACCATAGGATCCAGCAATCCCACTCCTAGGAATATATGTTAGAGAAATAAGAGCTGTTACACAAATAGACATATGCACATCCATGTTCACCGCAGCATTGGTCATGATAGCAAAAAGATGGAAATAACCTAGATGCCCATCAACAGATGAATGGATAAACAAACTATGGTACATACACACAATGGAGTATTACACAATGATAAAGAACAATGATGAATCTATGAAGCATCTCATAACATGCATGAAACTGGAGAACATTATGCTGAGTGAAATAAGTCAATCACAAAAGGATAAATATTGTATGAGACCACTAATGTAAAAAGTCATGAAAAGGATTACACGCAAAAATGATGGTTACAAGGGAGGGGAGGGTTGTGGGGGAAACACTAAATAGACACTAGATAAGTGGTAACTTTGGTGAAAGGTAAGGCAGCATACAATAGTAAGGAAGCCAGCACAACTTGTACAAGGCAAGGTCAAGGAAGCTCCACAGACACATCCAAACTCCCTGAGGGACCGAATGGCTAGACTGAGGGCTGCAGGGACCATGGTCTTGGGGAACATCTAGCTGAACTGGCATAACCCAGTTTATAAAGAAAATATTCTACATTCTACCTTAGTGAGTAGCATCTGGGGTCTTAAAAGCCTGTGGGCTGCCATCTAACATACTGCACTGGTCTCACCCCTTTGGGAGCAAGGGAGAATTAAGAAAACAAGACACAAGAGAAAGATTAGTCCAAAGGACTAATGGACCACAACTACCACCGCTTCCACCAGACTGAGTCCAGTACAACTAGATGGTGCCCAGCTACCACCGACAGGGATCGCAACAGAGAGTCCCGGACAGAGCTGGAGAAAAATGTAGAACAAAATTCTAACTCACAAAAAAAGACCGGACTTACTGGCCTGACAGAGACTGAAGAAGCCTTGAAAGTATGGTCCCCAGGCACCCTTTTAGCTCAGTAATGAAGTCACTCCCAAGGTTCACCCTTCAGCCAAAGATTAGACATGCCCATAAAACAAAACGAGACTAATGTGGCACAACAGCCCAGGGACAAGGACTAGAAGGCAGGAGGGGACAGGAAAGCTGGTGATAGGGAACTCAAGGTTGAGAAGGGAGAGTGTTGACATGTCGTGGGGTTGTTAACCAATTTCATAAAACAATATGTGTACTAACCATTCAATGAGAAACTACTGTTCTATAAATCTTCATCTAAAGTACAATGAAAAAAAAATTATGGAAAAATAAATAAAAAATAAAAAAAGAAATCTAGTGCTACCTTTCCAGCTTACAAAGTCACCATTCCTTACTATGTAACCCATATACCTAATGTACTGTACATTGTCAAGCCTCGGTCTCTTCTTTGCAGCCACTCCATCTTCAAGGTCTTCCCCCTTTTATTTCTAGCTGATAAAGTCATGTTTATATGAACATATGTGTCTGCCTCCTCCAATACATTCTTATTCTTTGGAAGCAAAGAACCTTCCTGATTAATTTGGTATCTTGCATTCATTTAATCATTCATTTACTAAACATATACTAACTAAGAAGCAGGCACGTGCTAGTGCTAGGTATACAAAGATAAAGATATAGCCCTGTCTTTAACAAATGTGCAGTCTGGTCGGGAAGATGGACATATAAACAATTACAGTGCAATATGACAGGGGAGAGGATACAGCAGTGGTTCTTGAACCTGGTTGTACATTAGAATCTCTAAGGTAGATTTTTTTAAATGCTAATGCTTTGGTTCAACCACTGGACATTCTAATTTGATTGTTCTGGGATACATTTTTTAAAAGCTGCTCTCGCATAGTTATGTAAAGTGAAGGTTGAAAACCTCTGTGATAGAGCTGTGCACACAAGGGTACAAGACATGGTAGACACACCTTGTAGCTGGCACTTTTGGTTGTTCTACAATATCCTGTCCCTCTTTCTTCTTTCTTCTTCCTTCTCAAATCTATTGAGGAAAACATCCTTTCTTCATATGACTTAGAAGACAATGCCTTATTCCAAACTTAGGGTAGATTCTGATTGTTCTTTCCTGTGACTGGTTTAGGAGTAGGCAAAAGAACTCATTCTGGACAAGGATACTCAAGAGAAGGTCTGCTGTGAGAGTTGGGGAAGAAGTTTCCTCATTCCAAGAAAGATACACCAAGAGAGATAGGCTCTTTCAGCCCATGGATGCTGCTTTATCTGGATGTGACATTTGGAACTGCAGCAACCATCTTGTAACTATGAGGGAAGCCACTCTGAGGCAGAGCTGAGATCTGGAAAGGACCTGGTTTCTTGATGGCACTGTTAAGCCACTGCATCAAACAGCCTTGACGTCAGATCAACCTGTGCATTTCCTGATGCACGGAATAATAAATTTCCTAACTGTTTATGCTACTTTAAGCCAGAGTTTTCTGTTTACCTGCAACAGATAGTATCCTAACCAATATACAACTAAAATTTAACTTGGGGATCAAGAAAAGCATCCCAGAAGAGGTGACATCTGAGGAGAGTCTCCAGCAAGGCACTTACGAAGCAGGAGGAGCAAATAAAAAGCCATATAGAAGTATAGCATATTCTGAGAACTGCACATATTTCAGTATGGCTATTGCAAGGAGTATGAGGTAGGAAAATGAGGCTGGAGAGGTGGCAGTCTAACGTGAGATCTTGAGGAGCCTGGTATGTTGTGGTAGACTAAATATGGCCACAAATCCTTCGTAGCTGCTCTCATCAACAGGTGGAGTCTATTTCAACATTCATTGAATCTGGCTGGTTTTGTGACCAATAGAACGTGTCAGAAGTAACGTTACATGAGTTCCAGAGTGGAGACCTGGCTCTCTTGAAATGCTACCCTAAGTCTGCCATGTTGCAAGGCAGGTGATCTAGCCCACTGGAGGATGAGAGAACTGAGACTCCCCAGCCAACAGCCAGCACCAACTGCCAGACATGTGAGGGAGGCCACCTTGGACTATACAGCTACTCCAGCCATTGTCTGACTGCACGTGAGCCCAGGAAAGACCAGCAGAAGAACCTCCCAGCCAACCCACAGAATCATAAGATATAATAAATCATTGTAGTAGTTAGATACACATTTAGGGTGATTATTATGCAGCAACAGGTAAGTGATACACAGGCCATGCCAAGAAGTTTGGGCTTTATTCTGAAAGCCATCAGGAGTAACCTGATCAGATTCATGTTTTAGAAAGATCACTTTGGCAGCACCTTGGAGAATAGATTGGAGTGGGGGCAGGGTAGAGATGAGAGAACTTGTTAGAAGACTACTGCATTAATATAGCTGAGAAACAATGTGAATCTGAGCGAAGACACTGGCAGCAAGGAGGCAGAGAAATTAATGGATTCAAGAGTTATTTGGACATAAAATCAACATGATGGTTAATTCAGGCTATCGAATGTAAAGGATAAAAATGAACTAAGAATTACTCAAAGGTTTCTGGATAAGGTACATGAATAGACAGTAGAGCCATTCACTAAGAGAGAAAATGTGGGGGGAAGACAAGGTTTGAGGCATGTGTGGAAAATGCAAGCGAAATGTACATCATGGAATGTACAGCAAGGAGTTGTGAATACTTAATGTTGGATGAATAAATTACTATGATTAATCTGGATGGGTATTGAAATGTTCTAGTCCAAGCAACCTTTGTTATATAACTTTACCAGTTGCTGTTGAACTAATTCCAACTTATGGCAATCCCTTGAGTTTGAGAGTAGAGCTGTCCTTTATAGCGTTTTCATGGCCACGATTTTTAGGAAACAGATAGCCAGGACTTTCTTCTGATGCGACTCTGGGTGAGTTTAAACAGCCAACCTTTCTTAGTAGCTGAGAGCTTAACCATTTACATCACCCAGGGACTCCTGATAACTCTAGTGCTCTCTAAGTCAAATAAAGTTTTAGTGGTATATCATTTTATTGATACTTCATCAAAATAGAAAGGAAAGATATGACTTGATGCAGTCCAAATGCTGACAAATCTGTACATTGTTTACCTTATCTGTATAAATTTATAATTCTCAGGGAACACTATCAGTATACAACGTGCCTACCTAAAGGCACTGTGATTTCGTGGTGTAGTCGGGGGGTAAACTCTATGATACAAATTATCTCTCTCTCTCTTTTTTTTTTTCTTTTCTGTCCTGCAGATCTTTTGTATGCTTCCCCATCCTCTAGAGCAAATAAGGGCATTGCTAACTACATACAAGAAAGGGTTGAGACTGGCTCCATGTTGTATATTTTGTCAGGTGGGCACAATCCATGATTAGTTAACAAATTACAGAGGCTACAAATAATTTTAATATGCACATGTAAATATCGACTTACCTTTGATATTGATTAAAATAGCAAGTAAATGGTTGGGAACCAATCTCTTCTTTCCAGTACTGTTGCCAAGTCATGACACTTTCCAAGTTCTTCTGATTTTCTCTCTCACAGGGAGGGATATAGGAGCACTAACAAAATTGAACAGAGAAAGTAGAGCTATTATTCTATAGAATATTGAAACATAGTCTACTATTTTTTTTTGAGTGGCATTATGCAGATAGTAAATCTGATTTTGACCTACCTAATTTTTAATACAATCAAATTGAAACTGCTAAATTAGACTTCAAATTTTCAAATAGGCACAACTACAGAAAATATTCTAATCACAAAAATATAGCAAAAAATAATCTATAGTCATGAGAGTATAAGGACTTTTATAAATAGTTGTAATCTAATATCAAATTAAAAGCATAATACTCTCTTTCTGAAGGCCTGCCAGTCAACAGAAAAATCCACAAAATCCGTTGCTGTGGAGTTGATTCTGCCTCATAGCTACCCTGTAGGACAGAGAACTGCCCCGTAGGGCTTCCAAGGAGCGCCTGGTTGATCTGAACTGCCAGCCTTTTGGTTAGCAGCCGAACTCTTAACTACTATGCCACCAGGGTTTCCCCAGTCAACAGAGTGGCAAGAAAAAGTTAATTTTTATCCCCAGTTTCTATCTGTGGACCTTGATATTTTCCTCTTCCATCTTTAAGAAACTAATCAATCATCCAGCTCTTCTCAGGATACTGCTATCAACCACTGAAATCCCAATTTTCTTTTCGTATGTTATCTTGGACAACTAAATTAGCAGAAGATACTCTCTCAAGTACATAATCAATATGTTTTGCTACCCAATACGTTTCCCTAGCCATCACAAAATAGTTCTCTGACAACATAGTTCTCTCTGAAGGGACTCAATTACTTTAAGCAGAATCAGAAAACTGCTCTTAACTCTAGATGTTAAAAATAACACTTAGCATTCAAATCCATTTCTCCAATTCAGTCTTTTACAATGATGATGATCATTACCAGTTTATATTTACTGAATATTTACAACATTTCAGAGACTGTAATAAATGCTTAACTTTAACTCGAGTACAAAGAAGTACAACAACCCTCTAATGATCTCCATTTTATAGATGAAGAAATGAGAAGCACAACCACCCTAGAATAATCTCCATTTTACAGATGAAGAAATGAGATTTTTGTCAGTCTATAACTGGTGATTTTCTCACTTTCTACTCTCAATCAAATGTTTGACCAAGATGTCCAACATTAAGAAACAGAAAAAAAAAAAAAAAACAACTATTATACTATAGTTTGAGTCACATGGTTTTAAAGCACATAAACTTTTAAAACATAATCTTTCAGCACCTTTCCATTACTTTATGGGTAAAATCCAAACTTTTTAGTCCTATGTACAAAGCTCTTTATGATCTGGTCCCTCCCTGCCGTCGCCCTCAATGAATCCTGGAATGCAACCCCACAGAAGCACTAGCTCCCTAAATCTCCCATGTACTTTTGTGCTTGCCTGTCTGGCATCTCTCTCCCCTTTTAATGCCTTTTCCCCTTAATCCCCTTCTTTTAAGATTCAGTTCTAACGCTACCTGTTCCGGGGAGCCTTCTCTTTCTTACTCAGTTATGTGCCCCTAATTTGTGCTGCCACAGGGACTGTACCCTGTGCTATCACAGCAGGTATTGCACAGTATCATACTTGGTGGTTTTATATCAGCATCCACCCCCACCCCCACCACTGGCTGGCAAGTTCCTTGAGGACAAGGACTGTTATTTATTTCTCTTTCTGTATCTTCACACTTACAGTATGCCTGGTAATGGTGAAGTTTCAAAAATATTGGTCAGATGGTAGGTTGGCTGGTTGAATTAGTGACCAATAACACACTTAGATACATTTTTATTCAAGATGATGACACGATCTGCAGAGTAGCTTAACACTTAAAGAATGTAAACAATATAAACATACTTTTAAGTTTCAGTAAATTTGGTTCTGTTATGAAAAACACAAATTCACAATATGTGATGTAATTATTACTTCAATGACTGAGCCACTGGATACTCTATCCTCTGTACATATAGTTCCACTTCTATTAATGATAGTAATATAAAGCTAGAAAATATCAATGAGATTACGGATTCTTCTAAAGCAGCAGTTGGGCTTAGAAGCAAGTGGAGACCATTAGTTAGAGCTCCATTCACAGTATTTTTTAGGTGTTTTGGCTTAGTTAGTCCCCAGGTGGTACAAACAGATAACTTGCAGCTGCTAACCAAAAGGTTGGAGGTTCAAGTCTACCCAGAGGCACCTCAGAAGAAAGACTTGGTGATCTAATTCTGAAAATTCAGCCATTGAAAACCCAAAGAGCACAGCTCTACTCTGAAACACACAGGGTCACCATGAGTTGGAATCAACTGCATGGCAATTGGTTTTTTTTCAAAGAGGGCTTACCTAAATTACTTCCCTTTTCTGGACTACTCTAATCTAATAATCTGATCTGTAAAATCTCTAAAATAATTTAGAGTTCTACAGTTCTATCACTCTATTCAAGAAAGGACCCAGAAGAAGGCAGGACTACAAATACTGTCACAGTATTTGCCCAGAAGAGATCTTGCCCACTGGGGAGATAGCTGGGAACCCTAACTGAGCACCATTCCAGCCAGCAAAAATGAGTGTGGTAAATCTCTCCTTGGGGCCTATATTCTGCATTAGGAAAATGTTCACAAAGGGACTTTTGTCTACCATGATTTTCCTATTGCTTAACATAAATAGTTAGTCATCTCCTTTCCTTCTATTAAAACATTTTTTTCTGCATTATGGTGAATTTATGCTGTTCTTTCTAGGAAAGAGAAATTTCCAGATTTGGAGGCAGAAGCTGTGAGATGTTAAACCCTTTTTACAATCGGTATACTGTATAAAGTTCTGTATTAGATATGTTGAGGCTTCGTGTGGGATAAAAGAGATTTATTTTGCCTTTAGAAAACTTTGAGCTAGTGTAGATGAATTTTGGAAAAAATGTAGTTTTTTATTTTGGGGAAAACAACTTGAGATCAAAATCCAAGTATTCTTCCCATATTCTGAATTCTTTCCAAAGAGTATCATGGATTAAATAATGAGCTTATAATACTCTAGCAACTTTTTAAAGCTAATATAACCTTGGAAGGAAATTTTTTTAAAGGTTCAACTTTATGTTCTTAAAGATCATTACTGTTCATTTTCTTAAATTTTGATTCTCCAGTTAATTTGTCTTTAAAATTTCCATGAAGCTAACTCAGAGCCTCCCTAGAGTCCTTCTCAAATATACTTGGTGGATCAGTATAGATGATTAAAGGAGACATGGTGGTACAGTTGTTAAAGCATTCAGCTGCTAACCGAAAGGTTGGCAGTTCAAAGCCACCAGACGCTCTGCAGGAGAAAGATGTGGCAGTCTGCATCTATAAAGATTTATAGGCCTTGAAAACCCTATGGGGGCAGTTTTACTGTGTCCTATACTGTAGCTACGAGTCGGAATCTACTTGAATGCAGTGGGTTTTGGGTAGATGAATAAAATTTTAAAATAAGTTAGAAATGAAAATTCAACATCAGCATCTAAAAAAGAACTAGGAAATTCAGTCAAAAATACTTTTCTTTAAAATGTGTTCAAGTGTGATGGTTTTCCATGTCTCTTAATATCTCCACCATGAATATCTCTCCTTTCAGAGGCACAAATAATCTATACCACATCATCATCATCATCGTGGCTAACATTAATTGACTATGTGGAATATGTGCCAAGCACTGTTTTATCTCATGTAATCCAAAGAAGCAAATATTATAATCATCCCATTCAACAGATGAGGAAACTGAGGAGCAGAAAGATTTAAGAAAACCTTCCCAAGGTCACAACGACAAATGGTAATGATAGAACTGAAATTGAAGAGTGTTCTTAACCACTAACTCACACTGCCTGCCATGTCTCTCTCTTTAGGGCTTTCTACTTTTCTCTCTTTGGAGCTCCCTGATTAGGGGGTAGGGGAGATTCCCTGCCCTCTGCATCCCTCTTTTGCAGAACCACTATAGTGTTTCTGTTGCAATGGAATTGGGGTAGTCCTCCTAAGGACTAATGGGTTGAGGCAGTCTGTTGCAGTCCTTTATCTTCCTGGTACATTGCCAGAGAAATGCGTTGTTAGTCTTTGCTTGCCCTCCTGTCTCTATTTGGCCCCAGGGTTGGTTTCGGGTGCCATGGATGTAATGTCACTTAGGTGAACTAAGAGCACATTGTCTGGTCATGGAAGACAATGAGCATTCTTTGTACTTCTGACCTTTTTGTTTTTCATTTGCAAAGACAGCATTTCCCAGCTCCTAATATCATTACTGTCCAAATAGCCCTCGCTAGAGTCTGTACTCCCTGAACTTGGATGAAACCATTTTCTTTAAAAAGTCGGGAGAAAAAGGGACATGTGCTAAAATATACTCATTGAATGCCTACCATTTAGAAGGAAAAAAAAAAGACTTTTGCATTCATGAACCAAGCTTGTTGAACTGAGTGGGCTATTCTGAGTATATTAACGTAAAGGCTTCCCGTGAGTTTATTAACTATCATCACTTGACGCGGAATGTTTGATCATGTACTTATTATTATTTATTCTCCCATGATCTTATTTTAGGGCTTATCAAGATTTATAATAGCATGCTCTTCCAGCCTATCACAATGGATTTGTATTTTAACAGAACGCTTCAAGAGTGGGTTTTTGTGATAATGTCTTAAAGACTGCATTTCAGTCATGTGGGCAGACTAGGCAGAATTTACTTTCTTCCTTTACTGAGTCATTTAAAAATCTTTGTACAAAACACATGGTATATTGAACTAAACACTGGGGACTGGGTTCTATATTAGCCATTATCGAAGGGCAAAAAAAAAGGAAAAACTTTTTTCCCTCCATTTTCTTTCTCAGCTTCACTTGATTAGGGAGGGTAGTACTGAAAGCCATAACACTAGAATGGGTTTATCTAATTAAATAATTTCCAAAGCACTTCGGATAGAAAATAATTTTTTAAAGTATTATCTACTGGAACGCAGGTTTAATTATGTTATATCATAATCCCCTAGTTTCTGAAATCCTATAAGAAATCTTGGTGTTTGCTATATGGTTTGTA